TGTTTACTGGCTGCTGTCTTGACACTGCAACTTTCTGTACCTTTGCTATTCTCCACAGATCATCTTTGGTCTGATCCTGTGCTAAAGAGTTCTCACAAGATATGCACATGGTCTCTGTTGCTCTGAACTCTGTGGTAGAGAAATCCCATACATTGTAGCTTTGCTGGAACAGAGGGTGTATATATATGCACACAGAGTATGTATATGTACATTCTTTGTATATACGTGGCATACAAATTAGATATATGTATATTACACAAAAAACTCAGGGAACAAAATGAGAAATCTCATGGATTTGACAGCCTAGCAGAAGCTTCTCAACATGTGTGATGGTGTAAGAAGTTTAGAAGTTGATACGTGCGCTCAGCCTTGCCCACCCTGGGCCCATCAAAGCTAATGTACATACAGTATAGTTTAGTGTGTGTGTATTCATCAATGTCAAGGGTGGACAGAATGTTTTCCATGCATTAGATGCAGCCTTATTAAAAAGGAAACAAGGATATGTATGCATATGTAGGAGTAGAGAGGAATTCACCCAAACTTGAAGGGGGGGGGGGGGGGGGGGGGGGGGGAATTATATTTGGAAAACTCTTGAATTAATTGAACACATATAATTGCTATGTAGTAAAAAAATCTTAATGTCGTTCACATGCAAAAATTGTTCTTCAGTGTTGATATCGAGAGGGTACAGTAAAGTAGTCCCCAAATTTGTAAACATTTAAGTGGTGTTTTAAGTTACTAACTTTTAATTAAGCTGAGAACAATGCAGTTTCTTGTCTCTGAAAGACAAAGGTTTATGTTTATGACTTTCTGAAAAGTTACATTCTCTGCAGTACAGCAACTGTGGTAAGAAATAGTGACAAACTCAGCTTCTTTGGAAAAATGCCGTTGTTGATTAATTGCAATATATTTCAGCCATGTATAGATTTCTCACATTTGCCCAATAAACAGTGGTTTCATTCTTCGGAGATGAACAATCTCTCTTGTGCGCTCAGGTTCTTTCCAGCTTAGTACACAGTTTCTTTTGAAGGATTTGTTTTCCTGGGTTGAACTCAAGAACTCGGAGCACCTTATCACGCTTTCACAAGCTCGATTTCTGAAGGGAAAAGTAGAGAGGGGAAAAAAGCCCGTCAAGGCTTGTGCCAGTTAAATCCAGGCTCTCAGGGGATTTGTTTTTCTTTTTGGCGTCAGATTAGATGTTCAAACCAAGCAGTGTTGTGGGTCTGCGGGTGTGTGTCCACCGAACCCTTAACGAGGCTAATCCCACGGCAGCACATTCCAAGCAGCTAATGGGTGCAAGGGCTTTGCTTGCTCCCACATCTCTGCTCTGCGGATGGGCTGAGCGCCTCGTTCGGGGGCACTCGCGGACGTGTTACTCGCCATGGCCGGCAGCAGGGAAACGTGGACGGCAGAGTTTGCTCCGGGACGGACTTAAACACCGAGTTTGATGCTCAGGTAAAGAATAGGGAGGAAAAACTGTTCTTGGTGGGATTTTGCAGATAAGTTAAGAGAGAAAGAGAGCCTTAACTGAGAGATCTAAGCCATGAGTAAACTGAATCCAAGTATAAGTAGGGCAAGTAGTTTAAGAATTCACTGTGGACTTTGAATTACCTTAGGAATTGATACTGAAGAATTGTTTACAAAATAAGAGAAAGAGAAGATAAGGTTCTTGCTCTACTATTCTTGAAAATGCTTTGCTACACTTTTCTGAACTTTTTACTACTTTATTAATTCGCATTGTAAACAGGAGTTTAGTGCAGACTGTTTTGTTATGAATGTATTGATTTCCTCAAGTTATTCTAATTTTGTTATGAAGACTTTATGGCAAGTAACCATATCTGAACCTTATATTTCATTGCAAATTATCTCTGTCACAGAAAGACAACTGGCATGGGGCAGTGAAATCAGATGTTTTCTTTTTGGTTTGGAAGGACAAGGAATTATTAAACGAGTAAATCATATATTTTGGCAATATGAATCTGTCAGGTAGGATAGTACATTGTTGGAGATCTAAAAGCTGGAAAGCCTCTTTTCCTGATGTGAATAAAGGACTTTTTAAATCAGATTGTTATTTTTGCAATATTACATTTGAAGAAGTATTATGAGAATTCAAATGCAAATTATTATTATATTTAGCAGAGGTGGGTTTCTTTTCTACTTGCAAAGATAGTATGAAACAAAGTAGGAAAAATGTCCATTTCTTTAATTTTTTGAAAACCTGCTTGTATACCTAAAGAAAAAAGTTTTAACTGAAGTACCTGTTATGACATCTTTTTGTATTGGATCTTGAGGCTTAGAGAAATTGAATTAGTGGCCATCTTTAGAAAAGATACATTAGGTCCATGTCATAAGTAAATTCACAAAGGTAAATTGTTTGCAGAATTTAATAAATGATATTTTTAGGGAGTCTTAGCAACATGAGTAATAATCATATGCTATGTAAGCTCTGCAGTATGAGCTGATTTCAGATGTCAGGAATAAAAGTTGACTTATAAAAGCTTTTCATGCTTTCTAGAGAAAATAAAGGATATTGCAGGCATGTATTTAGTGTTAAGCAAGCATGAAGATAAAATTGGCAGTATTCTACAAGTGTTCCTTTTTTTGTCAAAAAGTTACTGTGTATATATATACACAACAAAAAGGATTCATAAATCTGCAGCTTCTTATCAATATGTATCTTCTTAAGGCAATGTAGAAAGTTGGTGTGCTCTTGGACCTTGAAGGGGAGAAATTTCAAGAATGTGTGGTCCATACAGTAAAGTATGTAATTTCAAATGTTAGCATTGCAATACCTGAGTAATAATTGTAACTTCCTTTATTTGTCTACAACACTCAACAAAAAGAAAACCCCTAGTTTTCCATGTAGTTATGCTTCAAAAGTTCTTCAGTAATAGGGTCAAATGAAGTTCAAAAAGTTCATTCTGGATGCCTAGAGAGTTCTAGAAAGTTAGTTTATAACGTGTTTTTCTTTGCCTGAAAAGACTACTAAGCTGAGAAATTACTCAGTGATGCACTAGACTTCTAAGTTGATTTGACTGTATAATGTACAAAGTTGTGAAGATGGTGATGATTATCATTATTATTTACATCAGAGACATATAATCATTTAGAAGTTACAATAAATTAGAACTTCAAGGTAATCTCTTCTATGTAAAGTAAAGCTTTTTTAGATTTTTCAGAATTTCTATTCAACTGTTCTTTGCTTAAACGTGAAAAAAACCTTTCCCCGCATTCTATAATATATTAACTTTCAGTTTGCTACAGTAAGGAAGAACAATCAAATAAAGTTCTATTTAATGTTTTTAGTAGACTTTTCTTTTTCCTGACTGTAAAACTCTTGTCAGGGTATCTGCTATTCCTACTAAAATATGAAGTCTAGCAGATTTTTCAAATAAAAATGCAAATAGAGCAAAGACAAAATATTGTTACCTAAAATGAGTGACCACTAGATCTAATAAGGGATTATCTTCTGTGAAAAATGCAAAGGAATAACTTTTTATGTACTGAGAGTGATAACTAAAGAATGTAGCTAGAAGTTCTTATTATGGTTCTTTATAGGTTATACTACTGACATTAATTGACTCCAAGAAATTTCCACTGATTTTCAAAAGTCCCAGAAACACAAGTTTCTGGATTTAAACATGAAAAACAGGATGCAGACTGAGTTGACAAAAGGATAACATTACGTAGTCAGTAAGGTAACACTAGTTAGTAAAGGTAATGCTTACTTAGGTTACTATCTAAGCTTACACTGTAAAAGGTAACAGTTAAGTAATGTTATAAGAGCAATTTCGTATTTTCTCTTTTTATAAAGGTAAGGTGTTTAGATTTCCTTTAAATTATCTAAAGCACATTTCACATTACTTAGATAATGTCATAGTTCATAGTTTATAGTTCTATTTATGCTGTGTAATTTAAATACGTTTTATAAAAATTAGCTGTTTAAAATGAATTTTTAAAGGAAAGTTTCAACTCATCTCCTTATTAAATGGAATAATTGAATTCTATGTGGGGTAATCTTTTAGAGAGTTTGCCAGAATTCGTATTATATGGAGTGAGGACTGTCTAGATAATTAAAAATATTTCAGAACTCTGTAAAAACTTGGTATAGTTTTTTTTTTCTTTCCTACCCGTCTACCTTTCTTTTAAAAAAGATCTCTTATGTATCTGAAAATTAAAAGTTCGCTGAGGGGTATTACTTGCTTTCCTGTGAATCTGTGGAGGAAGAACTTGAGTGTTATGAACAGGCACATCTTCAATGAACTCAGTTTTAGAGGTCACATCAACTGGTCGTCTGACTCTTAATGTATGAAAGTTTTTTGTCCACATATGAAACACTATTTTCTGGCTCATCTTAAAGAGCACTCTCAGCACTTTTATGAAAAATTGCATTGGAATTATGGTGTTAGAAGTTTTATTGCAAGATATTTATTTTCTAGTTTCTGAGATTTATTTTATTTTTAATTAGAGCTGACTTAGTTGTATCACTAAAATGGAAACAGATTTTTTTTAAGTATTTTTAATTAATAAGTGTGTTTTTTCTCTACCACGTTCAAAGGTTTACAGTTTGAATTAATTCTTCTCCAGTGATTCCTGCTATGAGAATATAAATGACAGCATCAAAGTCATCTGGCTAGTGAATATGAAAAAAAATCTTAAGATCTTATGTTGGATGCTTAGCTCTAGAAGGGAACCATAGTTCTAATGGAAAATATTTGCTTTGTGCAAAATGTGCACTGTGTATCTACAGTCAGTGAAATTTTCTTTTCTGTTTGAAGTTTCTCTTCAGTTATACTACAAGTTGTGTTTAATAAGCAAACAATGCTCACACCATTTCCTTTCTCTCTTTTAGGCACAGAAATCATGGATAGAAAGAGCATTTTACAAGAGAGAATGTGTTCATATCATACCCAGCACCAAAGACCCCCATAGGTAATTGCATGCTACTTGTATGAGGAATGAAAGTCAATTACAAGAAAACATCTCTATATATGTGTGCGTACATATGTATATGGATATAAATAGTTTGTAAAGACTTATTTGATCAGAAGATGGTTGATTTACATCTGGAGTTATGAATTCCTATGAGCACTATTTGTTTACATTTTACAAAAAAAGATAAATCAAAGGTGGTTCAGCATCTTTGCTTAATTTCCTGTATTCTTAGTTCAATGTTCAGTGCCTTGAATATTTACCTAAATTGGATGTATGACACAAAATACTGTAAAAAGAAAACATTTGCAGTGAACTAGCAATATAAAATATGTGCTAGTCCAAGCCAAAGGTGGTTATTTCACCTGATATCATCTGAAGACTGTAGAAAATGTCATTTTGTCCATATTTAGAACAAAGAATTATTTTATTGAAGTATAAGAGAGTCCAAAGTAAGCAAGGTCATAGAAAGAAAAGGTGATATCTGTACTAGTTTGCTTCCACGAGTAAAGGCTTCAGATAGCATGCAAGTGGTCAGCAGAGTTGAAAAGGTGGGGGTTTTTTTAAGATCTGTAGGCCATTTAAGATAGTTTGTTTCCCTTTTTGGTTTATACATGCGCGTGACTCAAGTTTTCTGTTTGTTTATTGTCATAGGTGTTGCTGTGGGCGTCTAATAGGTCAACATGTTGGACTGACTCCAAGCATCTCCGTTATTCAGAATGAGAAAAATGAAAGCAGGCTTACTCGCAATGACATCCAGTCGGAGAAGTGGTCCATCAGCAAGCACACGCAGCTCAGCCCGACAGACGCTTTTGGAACCATTGAGTTCCAAGGAGGAGGCCACTCCAATAAAGCCATGGTAACCATGTTTTTTCTCTTAGATAAATAATGCTGCTAGCTCAAAAAAGGCATTCACAAAGAACAAACAGCATTCTTTCTTAACTTCATTTTAAACTATTATTTAGTGTAAGACTGTACCATATGTTTTTATGTATCATGTGCCAATGAACTGATGAACAGAATTAATTATAAAAGCTGGAGTACAGCGTAAGAGGGGCTACCTTTATGAAGACTGAAGACATCCTAATGTGCTGCTATCTCAATTTTCTTCCAATAGCTAGCCATCTTTCTTTTTCTGAATAGCTTTAGACTTCAACTCTGGTTTCCCATTGCTGGGTGTGTCTGCAAGGCTGACAAGTTTGAAATACCACAAATTTATTTTAATATTTCTCCAGACATGTATCAGAGGATAGACACGTTAGACTCACTGGTTCATCTTTCAATGAAATAAAAGGCCCAGTAAGTGTCTAAGGTAGGAACTGGCAAATCCCTATTCTGCCATAGATTTCCTTGAGCAATTCACTTAGTCATAATGCAATGCTATGGAGCAATACCAAAGTATATTAATCCGAAGGCAATGTCCACTAAATTGGAGTAACTCATGCATCAATTTTTTTGTATGTGGCATTACACGAAAGGAAGAATCTCACTGTCTCTATCTAAACTGCAGAACCTGAGACTTTGTACTGACAGATAGGTGTGTACCTAGCACATCGTGGCCAAGACACTGCTTTGGGCAGCAGTGTGGGCAGAATCAGAACCACTGAATGCTTTGCAGAATAACCTGCCCAGCAATTCGGTACTGTCTTCTTTGAGTGAATTCTTCCCAACAGGTCTCTCAGATCTGTCATGGTACTAGGTGGAGTAGAGACAATGAAGAGCTCAGGTACTATGCCAGCAAGAGCCAGATATTTTCCTCAGATGGATACATAGGTGCTGGAGATGGAATGATTACTTGAATGAATGGTTCTGTTCACACAGATGAATGGCTTCTCTTGATAGAAACCTCAAAACATGGTTGCACCAAGAAACAGACAGAAAATTAGGTCATTTCTCTGAGAGTATCACAGACACCTTATGTTCAGTTGATAACCAATTACCTAAAAATCTGCAAGGCCATTGCTCGATTCAGTAAGTAACATTTGTTTAGTGTGAATAAATCGACACCTCCTTCAGCACTGAAATTAACCAAACCATACTGTTGGTATCTTCACAAGGAGAGGGAACAAAACAGAATGCCTTTTGCCAAAACTGAGAAAGATTCAGAGGTATAGTAACCATCATGCTATTAACCATATATGGATACTTTGCATTAAATCCATCTTTATGTGAAAGCGTAATCACCAGAGCTTTTTGAGTGGTGTCCTTGAAGGTCACTATAAAGCAATAAACTGCCCTGCCCAGACAAAAGTAGTCTTAAGCAGACAAACAATGATCAAGGCTTTAGGGAAGCTATTGATACCAGTTTCTCTAGAGGATTTCTGGTCTTTGTTGGGATTCTGGTGTCCTGCTACAGTGCCATAAAAGAACAGGAGATGCTCCAAGGTATATGCTGTGTGCTCAAAGACATACGCTTGAAGTGAAACTGAAGATAACGTTGGAATTCAACCTGAAGGAAAGAAAACTCTTGTCACAGAGTGCAGTCAGGAATGAAACCATGAAGAATTTAGAAAAAAAAAAAGAAGATAAAAAGGGATTAAAAGTCTGAGACACCTAAATAACAAGTTAAAACGTAGGGATGAATACAGACAAAATATTACTGGAAAAAATCTGGATGTATTTTGACAGTCCCAGAATCAGAAAGATATTTGCATCTCCCATCAATTCATAGTCATTAAAGCCCACCCGAAACATAGGAACAACCAAATTCTTCATGAATTAAAGTCTATAAAATCTCCAGATATTCAATCATCCCACTAGTGGGAACAGTGCTTCAAATTAAACAATTCACTAAGTATCTCTTTTAGGTGTGTCCTGCTTGGTTACTAATGAGTAAAACTTCTTTCATATGACCAAAAAAACCACAAATTAGAAGATCTGCATAACCAGTTACTGTGCATTTTTTAAAATGGAAACAAAAGAAGGAGCCTTGTTATACTAGTCAGTGTGTTTGTCACTGAAAACAGTATGAAGGTGTTCTTATGGTTAGATTTTCAACCCCAAATCTATTTTAGGGTAGAGTACAGTCAAAGAGCTGCCTAACTAGTTGCGGTTTTATTAGCAGAAAGAGTGAAACTCATGTCTCTGAATTTACTGGATATCAAGTCTTTCCCATAATAAACTTACCAAATCAAAAGCGTTCTGTGAAAGCCAAGAGTTTGCTCAGTCAAAGCAACCAACAAGTTTTGCCAGCAGAAGAGAGGAAAAAAGAGCATTTAAATTATCTTGAAAAATAAGGCTTGAAAAAAGGAACAAGTACTTAATAATCCTTCAAAACATTCTTGTTCAGAGGATATATTTTCAAACTCAGAAGCAGAGAAGCTGGAATCTCAACAGGGACTGGGGGAGAGAGAGAAAAAGGAGAAAACATGATAAATGGGCATTTGTTCTTTTGTAAAAATATGCTTAGTTTTCTAGCTACTGGATATCAAGTATCACTATAGCATACAAGCTGATTTTTGCTGACAGTCATGGTGAGTTAATATTGTGCCTATTGGCTAATAGAATAACCCGATAAAGCAGCAAGATTTAGCAAGCTGACCAAGATCAAGCAAAGCCTCAGGGGAAAGTTTGATGTAAAATTCACCACCTGTTCCTTACTTTATTTCCTGAAGTGGATGTCCACACATGAAAATTATTAAGCAAGGGAAACACAGAACTGAGTTATATTATCTTGGTCTGTGCTAACAGCAAAGTTGGTAAATTCTTCTGAATCAGGCTACAAGGAAAGAGGTGGAATTTATTAATGGAAACCATAACCTCAAATTTGTAATTGGGAAACTGATAGGTTTTTTAATGGAACAGATTAATGTGTGTAAGACTGACAGATAATTTTTTCCTCCATTGAAAGTAACAGAATTAAATTTAATAAAATAGATATGAATTTCATAGCAAATATATGTATACTTTGCATATATATTTGCAAGCTACAAATGCAGTGATATAATATTGTATCAGCTGCCACCAGACAATTAACAACGGCATCTTTAGCTGTGAAAATGAAAATTACACTGAAGTTATAATAGAACATATGGATTTTGAACAAAACAGAAAAGACGATGTAGGTTTACAAATTGCCAGTAGAACTGACTATGCCATTAATTAATTTCATTTCCATAGCCACATAGAACGAAAATTCTCAAACAGCATGAATTTTGCTAATACCATTGAGTTGTTAAAGTATCTTCAGTGAGGCTGCACTAAGCTGCTTAATATTGTGAAGAGCTGAGGATGCAGCAGATTATATAGAAACATACAGCCAAGATTATGTAACATTGGTTAACAAGATCAGTTGCTAAAGAGGCCTTTCTTTCAGTCTTCATGTAACCACAGATGATGCTGCAACAACACTGTGGTTTTTAGATCTCTGTCAGTCTTTTATTTTCTTCATAAGTGGCTCATCCTATTAATTTTTTAGAAACATATTTAACAGTTGTGCTGTTCATATTTACATTGGTTTTATGTCAGATTTTCGTTTTGGCAGTGATAAAAACATCTGAGAGGCATGTGAAGATAAGTAAACTTTATTAACAGCTTTTGCAATAAATGAGTGGATTGAAAAAAGATAAGAAAAGTAATTAAATGTGATCAATTGGCTCTTAGTATTTTAAGAAACATCGACGAGTTCATTTAACTATATACTGGCAATTTATTACTCTAACTCTGAGAACAATTATCACACTAATGTGAGTGATTCCATTCCAATTATGAGCAATATTCTGAACAATTTCTAAAAGGATTCTGGTTATTAGTGGACCTGTTAAGGCAATCTTGCTGTGATGCATTTTGCACTGAACTTGTGCCCAAACAAAAACAATTTTTGAAATTTACTATCTGCCTTTCTGCACACAAAACCAACCCCTTATTTCATTAAATGGTGTACCTGGAGTCCATATCAACCTTGTTTAAAGGATCAGTCTTTACAGAATTGAAATTTCTTTGATTATGGTTTTCCAAGGTTAGATGGAAGACAGCTGTTTGAAAAGCTTTGATAAGTTAAATACATTTCTCCCAATTGAATGCATTAGATACATTTAATGTGCAGAATACAAAACTAACATGTTTGCAGCTGTGCAAGAAATAAAGTTTACCTAAGTGTTATAAGCTTAACCTTGGAAACGTGAAAGAACATCAGTGGAATTCCAATATACACAAACAGCTTCTTAGAAAGACTTTCTAATAATCAGGTCTCCAAAACATTATACTTTATTAAGGATATTTGGAAATCAGCCACATATAAAGGCATGTTTCTGCTTTTAAAATATATTCTACCAAAGTTCTACCAAAACTGTGTAAAAAGGATCTTAAAAGTCACCAGTGCTTTTGAGAGAAAAAAGAAGAGAGAATCCTGTAACTGCGTAAACCATGAAAAAAGCAGCAAACATTTTTTTGTTATAGTAAATTAATACTTAAAGAACATTTACAGAATTTAAAAGATGCTGTCCTACATGGAGAAAAAGAGGCAATAACACAGAAAAGCATTTATCCAAAGCCTATTTAAATCAGTAAGGATTCTTCCGCTGTCTATTTAGTGAGACATGGATGAGACCTTAGGATGTTGAGAAGAATAGTAGCTTACAAGGAACCAGTCTGGTTTCAGTCTGAGAGTTTTTCTGTTAAATTAAGTGAGAATTACATAATGTTTATATGAAGATCACACTTTGAGGGAATCAGTCTTTAGCTCTGAATCTTTCTATTTTATTCACAGAGTCTCTCATCTGTGCTCATTCACCATGTACTTTAATGAAACAGCTGTGCTTGAGTAACACAGTAGAACTTTTACCACTAAGGAACTCTGACGTTTGCCCTGTGGCACTGGAGTCCAACTGGCTGTTTGACTGATGATGTGCACAGCTATTTTTTAGAAAACCACTTGATAAAAGAGGGAAACAACTGTTGGCATCAAATGGCACCCTTACTGCCTACTTCTGTGCTAGTTTAGGGATCAAATGGGCATAACAGCTTGAAATAGATGATTTCTCATTTCATAATGTTATGCTGATGTCAGTCAGGTCAGTCTGTAGGTTTTGTGGTTCAAAACTGTACTTTTGCTTCCTATCTTTCCCTGCTCTGCTGGCACACAACTGAAGTCTTGCATCCTATCCATACACGGCTCCCATAAAGAAGGAATTCAATCATTTGCCATTAGAACTGATCATTTCTACAGCTGACAGATACAACATACATGGAGTTTCAGGGTAACAGAGCAGTGGTTTAGCTTAGATTTACATTTAAATTTCAAATCTGCCCCTGGAGGCTAGGGCAAAAAAAAATTAGGAACAGCAGAAATACTCACTAAGATCCTAAACAAAAACTCAAAAGGCTGAATATTCTGCTACAAGATTGAAAGAAATGAATTTTTAATATGGATAAAAATGGCCTTAAAAGTGTTTATTCATAATTTAATGCATATTTTGACAGTGATGACTAAAGAATTCTCTTGTACTTACTAGTTAACATGTGAAGTAATAGCAAAAGATTAATCCCAAACATTCCAAATGGAAAATGGCCTCTGTAAGAGCAAGAATGAATCAGACCATCATAAAAATTGAGATCTGTGCACAGAAGAAAAATCATTATGTTTGATGCCATTGCCCTTCTCAAAAAAATTCTAGAACAGTAAAGCTTATCCATGATGATTTAAATTTTAATTTACATGAAAAAAAATGTCAGATTTATTTTTACTTATATTTCCTCTTTCTAAAGTAAAATGAATTCTTTTCATAAGTACAAAGGGGTTTTGCCTGCAGTATAAAGAACAAGTGGTTGTTTGCAATAAAAGATGTCTATATTTCAAGTAAATGTAAGATAACGCTTCTTCTCACTTTGTGATTCACTATATAGGTCAATATTTATGGAAATTCAAAGGTCTTAGTCAATAAGAAAACGAATGAGATTTTTGCCAATTAATACATAGGCTGAAGAAGGTAGGGACAGTGAAGTCACACATTCTGGAATGTAAAATAATGCAAAAGAATCAAGAAAACAGTCACTGGCTGAATTAGATAATACATATCTGACGTCTTTTTTGCCTTCATCATAATATCATCCCAGATGATTTTCAGCAAATTTGTGTGGCCATTACTAATATGAATTCACTTTAATTAACTTCTTAAAACTCCCAGTCTTTCTTCATCAAAAAAATGGAGTAAAGGCACCACTGATCCCCAAATCTAATCCCATAGTTTGACCAGCAGAGGTTTTGTGTAGGCCCTCTGAAGGAAGGGAGCATTCCTTCAAGGACAAGCTATCTGCTAATGCATGCAGTGCTAACAAGGTATTGCCCTTTGCAACCTCAGCTCTCCCTAAGAACAGAGCAAAGCGAATAAGGATCAGTCTCCTTACAACCCCTCTGGCACGTTAAAACTTTGACAGCCCTACAATCCTAATTAAAATTGTTAGATTCACCACCTGGTCAGTGGAATCAGGTGCCATGCAGGATTTTCTCAACTCCCATGCAGAAAATTGAATGGATAGATACTAAGGACGTGGTTCATGTATATATGAGCTTGAGGGTGCGTTATGCTCTTGCCGGACGTGAATATTGTATGTTCTTCATCCATTAGCTGTTACAAATTTGCCTGACTGCTGCAGACAACGTTACTGATGCACTGGGGTGAATGTGCATTCCCAAGTTCTTGCTCAGCTTTCAGTTTGACCGCACCTGCCTTGCTTCGCTCTGACTGTGTGCCCAAACGGGTTTCTGCTTCCAGAAATCAGAAATGTTAAGAATGGCTGTCCACTGTGCAACAACCCATTCTTGCAAGAAAACTTATCTATTATCAGTTTCTTCTGGAAAAAGTCAGGTCTTTGTTTCTTAGAATCATAGAGTCATAGAATGGTTTGGGTTGGAAGGGTCCTCGAAGATCATCTAGTGTCAACTCCCCTGCCATGGGCAGGGAAACCCTCCACTACACCAGGTTGCCCAAAACCTCATCCAACCTGGCCTTGGACACTTATTTATTCAAATAGAAAAGGGCCCAGTTTACTGTCGTATGGTTTACTAAAAAAGAACAATCTTTGGGCAAGAAGTATTGATTATACATGTTAAAAATGGACAAAATTATTACATAATATATGTGGATATTATACTACCTGGCATGTTACAATAAATAAGTTAGAACTAGACATTCCTGTGGCTGAAAGCAAAGGTACCCGTGTTCTACACCCGAAGGCTGTGCTGACAACCCATAAACAGAAAGACTACTGAAGTAACTCTATATGCCTTGATCCAATCAGAAGTTTGATAGACAAGTGGCTTTCTATAACCTATTCTGTTTAATTAAGGGGATCCTTCCAGATTTTACTGGTTATAGAAAGAATTTTGTCCTTTTATGGCTCGTTTCTGCTATGCAACTAGAACTCAAAAAAAGTATCTGCCCTGTCATGGGCTTTGTGAAAACCTTCAAACATCAGCAAGAGAAAGAGCAGGAGAAAGAGCCCAGAGAGAAAGTTTTGTCAGGAAGAGACAGGTATGTGTGCAACACGGTAGTGCTGTAGAAATTCTGATGACAGTTATCTTTGAGAAAACACAAACGGGCATGAACTACCTTGGGACAAAATCCTGCAGATGTAGCACAGAACAGCCAAGAACTGGAAATGCGTAAATGTGTTTCAAAGCACTTTTAAGGTCCTGTGCCTTGTTAGGCAAATTCATGAATCTACACAAATGAGTCATAAGTGAGCATTTGTTCATCTGAAAAGTATCTGTTTAGTCGTCTTACTTGGTTTAAACTTATGTATGCTTGAACAAATGAGCTTGTTTCTGTTATTTCCTATCTTTCAAGAGTTTGATTTTGTTTATTTGAAAATAACATACAAGTGAACGTGTAGTTGTGTCTCTGATTACCTAGGTCATCTTTGGCAGGCCACTTGCATTTTTGCTCCAGTTTTTGCATCCCTAAATTAAAGACAGTTATCTTTCAAGCATTGCTAAGCATAGTGAAACAATTAATGCTTTAATTTCCTAAATAAAGGAAAATTTTCCAGCCTGTGAATTGCAGGTGTTCCATTATTCCTACTTTCCTAAGTTTTGAAAAATCATTAAGTTAGCAATCACTTAGTGCTTTTGTCTTAAAGGTTGCCTTTTTTTTAGTGATCCATTGGGCATAAATCATAAATATTAGGAACCCGTGAGTTTAACCAATCTTTTTTTTTCTACTACTGCCCTTATTTCTGCAGTATGTACGTGTGTCTTTTGACACAAAGCCTGATCTTCTTCTGCATCTGATGACCAAAGAGTGGCAGCTTGAGCTCCCTAAACTTCTCATCTCCGTGCACGGGGGCCTTCAGAATTTTGAACTTCAGCCAAAACTCAAGCAAGTCTTTGGAAAAGGCCTCATTAAGGCTGCTATGACAACTGGAGCGTGGATATTCACTGGAGGAGTAAACACAGGTAACAGCAACATTGAAATGAAAGCACAGTGGCATCTAGGAGATTTCATCACAGAAAAAAAAATTAAGACTAATGAGATTAAGAAGCCATTCCATGTTTTATTTTATTAGTGCTGGCTGTACTATGCGCAAACAAGAAAATGCCAAGTTCATACTAGCCCGGCAGCTACCAGGGAATAAAAGGTTTGCTAAAGCGTGAAAAGCACACTGTGAAGCTGAAAATAAAGCCTCCTGTGAGGCAAGTATATTAGTATATTACCAGTGAAGACTTTATAACATCAACAGTAAATTACGGGGAGGAACTACTAACCAGAAACCAAAAAAGTCAAACTCTTACTACATGAAAATGAAAACATTTTCATCCAGAACAGACCTTTATTTTATCTTATCAGATGATCTGAGGTATGAAAGGAAAAAAGGTTCTGTTTTGTGAATGTATGTGGTGGAAAAACTTTATTGTGCATAAGTATCGCCTTTTCCTTTCTTGTAGACAACTTGACCTAATTTTTTTTCTATTACCCCTGCAGCAAGAGCAATAACGTTGTCATTTCTATTCAAAGTTGAGAACATCTGTAACATAACATATGGGTGCCCCAATGACCCAAGATAGCAGCTTGCCCAGCTCTGCTGGGAAACAGAATGTAGGTTTGGGGAATAAGCTGTAAAACACAGTTCCTCAGGTAAGAAATATTGGGCACTGGCTTCCCAGTTACCCTCCCTGAAGGAGGCAGAAAGGAGGAGAGACTCAAGGGAAAGTCAAAGAGTTCAGCTAGAGATAAGTGCAAAAAGCTTTGAGCTAGGACAGGTACTTGTAAATTCTTATGTCATTCTCTTTTGCTGCAGAAACAGAGCTATGATTTATTACTTTAGTAATCCCACAGAGTGTATCTATCCTCCTTACTGTCTTATGAAAAACATTGTAATCACTCTATCATGCATTAATTTTAGTATATTGTGGATCAGCTCCTGCATATTTGAATATGAATGCTCAACAGAAGTCTTGGACTTTATAGTTTGCAGAGTACATGAAATTTAAAATAATATTCTATTTTATCACAGTAGCAATACAAATAGCAAAGCTTCTGGAGTGTTAAATAGATAAATAGACTCACTCACATGTATGTAATATCCCTCATATCTCTGCAAAACAAGGAAAAATATCAGGTTAAATGTTGACCTGTGTAATGTAGTGATAATAGTTATGTTAGTTGCCGGATACTCTTGCAGTGACAATGGCAAAGACAGATAAAAATTTTAAGTTAAAAGCACATTAGAAAACTGTAGATATTGTACACTTATTGCAGTGGAGTACCACAGGAACTGTAGAAATCTAACTACAGAAATTTTGTAAACAAGGACTGACTGTAACATTTGCATTTGGCAAATGCATAACTTCTTCATACCATTTTTCAAATCATCACAGTTGCAAATGCTGAAACAATACAAATGAACCAGGAAAGTCAACATAATTACCGTTCAAAATTATTTCTTTTCCTGCAATCAAAATTACCTAGACAAAACAATGAAGTCCAAGTTGCTGTGTCTTATTTTAAAACATATTATTGTAGAAGCAATTCTGCATTGTCAAGTACCTCTCGTTGCTGTTTTTTAGGTTTCTGGAGCAAAACAGTTGATTGCTCCAGGGCAGGTTTTCAAACTGTGTAGGTGAAAATTAAGTGTTTTTTCTCTCTGTGCAATTGTACAGATTGAGAATTTCTGAATACACTCTGTGTATAAAAGTATAACTGAAAAATCCTGAAATACTGCTGTTGGACTGAGAATCAGTGATGTGACAGGAATGGTGCATACCTGGCATAACCATGACTGTTAAATGACTTCAACAAGTTGTTCTGTATATTCATGTCATGCCAAAAGTTATTTATTCTAAATAGCAGAAGTTTTTGCAGTCTGGACAGATATTCTGCTTTGAATCTTTTGTGTTGCTGGATCAAAGCTTTATTCATAGCCGATTACAGGAGTAAGTTTGTTGTTTTTTTCTCCTTTTCCACCACAGGAAGGAAATTAGACTCCAGGACTTAGAGGATTTGTTACGTTGCAGGGTTTTTTCTTACATAGTTCATTTACAGTGCAGATAAAACTATGACTAAAATCACATCTATTGTGTGACTGTTGTAATTCCAATCCAGTCATCTTGAAATTGTGGAATCTGAACAGGGAGCAAATACAGAAACTGAGTAACAGATAACATTTGCAGCAAATCCATAGGTCTGCTTCAGTGCAGCCACATCACAGAAATAGTTATTGATATACAGGTTAAAAAAAATAAATATTTTATTAAAAAGAAGGAGGAATGACACTTGTCCTCTGCACAGAGATACCACTGAAACATTGACAAAGCCGGCCTAAAGCATACAAGGAGCGCTATCAGAAAGCACTTGGAAGACAGCTGGGGAGCAGTCATTCTCTCTGTACTGATTCTGTTTTCCCACTGATCCCCCACAGGGTTTTCTAATACTTTACTGGAAGCTATCCCAGGTGACAGAGTTTGTTTGGAAAGAATGGTAGAATAGCTCACCGCAGAGTAGTGTAATGATGTTTTCCCATTTTCATCCTTTATTCAGACAGAAGGGAACATTTGCATGCAATCTACACTTCTTGGGAGGTTTGTGGGGGTTGTAATTTCTGTGCTTCTTTCTATGCTTGGGAAGGATATAAATGCTTGCATGCACATATGTTTGTTAACACAAGTGCAGATAAACAATTTACAGTCAGCTGTCAACATTTCTGTCCTTATTTCTAGAGCTGTGTAATTTTTTTCTTGCTACTTCATGTAATATTTTTTAGATTAGATAAAATGCACTTACGGTAGTACTGTAATAATATTCAATAGGAATATATTCATAGCTCTACTTAATTGTAAGTATATGCATAGATGTTTCCTAAAAAAGAATTCTATACTAAGTCTATGCCATAGTGAACAAAAAAGACATAATTATGAACTTTTATTTTATGCTGTTTCTTTCCCAGGAGTCATTCGGCATGTTGGAGATGCACTGAAAGATCATGCCTCCAAATCTCGAGGGAAGATCTGCACCATTGGTATAGCTCCCTGGGGGATTGTGGAGAATCAAGAAGATCTGATTGGCAAAGATGTAAGCCCTATATGGACATAGAGCCCCTCCAATATACATAAATCTTCCAGTTATTTTTCCTTTCCTCTCCATCCCTCACTTAACAATTCCTCATAGAATTAATGTCTGCAGAAAAAATCAATACATACACAGGTTTTCCATTATAGTTGAGAGCAGTTTTGACATGGCAAAAAAAAATAATTCCTGCACTGTATGTTCTTTAAAAATAAATTATAAAGACATTTCATCAAATACTATTCTTGAATATATATTAAAGTTTCATCCTTAGAACACTATGAACCCTGAAAAATGCCTAAGAAATCACTGACTGCAAAGCTGAACGTCTGATGTATTTTGAAACAATACTATGATGCATTGGTTAATTTCAGGATTTCAGACTATCCCCCTTATAATATATTCTGTCCTATGCGTTTTTATTACTGCAAATGGACATGAGATCAGACCTCAAAGAATCATTACTTCAGTCACCTTCTGAAGGGCATCGTCAGTGTTTCTTGTACTCTTTCACATCTTTCTTCACTTTTAAACCTATACTCACACTCAGAAAGATTAACCCCAGATTTTAAATACATGAATAGCTTACTCTGGTTGTATGTTACCTGAAGCTTTTCTGAGCCCTTTTATTTCCCTCACCTTTAGTTCTTTCCCAAGCCATCTGTCTGAGAACCAGTGGCTAACTTTGAATGGAGAAGAGATACAGTCTTCATTCTGCATAATGAATGTTTTTCTTGTCTGCATTACTCTAAATCATTCTTCTCTGCATGTTTGTCCATTAGCAAGTTGGAGAGGGGAAGAAGATTCAATTATCAGTTAGGTTAGAGGGAATTACAATGACTCGGAAGAAATTGATCCAACTGGCATTCATCAAGATTCACTATTAAAGTATAGCTTTTAGGGAGAATTGTTTTAGCATGGGTTTTTGTACTCTAACACCACTAGCATTTGTATAATAGGGTTACCAATATATACGAACAAGCAGGGTGGGACTCTGCAGCAGTAGTTCTGAGTCACTAGTGAACTCTTCTGCGATGCAGAGCAAAGGCTGACTAGCAGAAATAGCTAATCACAAAGATGAGGTGTGTCTTGTTAAAGACGTGTAATATACACATCGATTTCAGATAAGCAATCTTTACCAACTATGCATTGAGTTCTGGAAGCACTGCAAGAAGAAAGAGGGCAAGAAAAGACATCAAATTAGTGGTGAATTTTGGCACATCATTATTCATCCACTAGTTATTTCCACCTGTTGAAAAGCTACCAACTCTGCTCTCAGCTGGTAACCACCTGTTAAAGAGGCTCTGGAGCCTTCTTGTACAGCAAGTGCTGAAAAAAGAAGTTGGTTTCCCAGCTGTTCCAGCCAACTGGAACAGCCTCCCTGATTTCTGACTTCTTTAAGAGACGTTTTCCTCTAAATATCTTTCCAATTTAACAGGAAACCAAGAAGTTGTATGATTTAATTTTTTTTAAAAAAAAAAAAGGTTTCTGGTAAATCAGAAAAGGTTAATAGTTAGTCTGATCATCAAGAAGAAAGTGACAAAAGTTTTAAAAACAGTAAAGAAAACAAATTTGGGTAAAGTCTTCTATTAATGCAGCCACAAATATATCAGTAGGATTACAATTCTAGAGTCATCACTAAGGACAAAAATAGTTCCAAAATGTATTGTAAATGTGATAGACAAAATTGAAACTTTTCCTTCAGACCTCCTGGCCTATAATATTTTCATAAAATGATTGATCAATGACATGATGCAATGCTAAAGCACTTCTGGTTTTATCCTCTCTAATGCACATGTAATAATAATTGCTTTATGCTTACCGATATTGAATTTCATCTTCCATTTTATCACCTAGACAGGCTGCTTTATGAAGACTTTCTTTAACTCTTCATAGTCCACTGAAATATCTATGAGCTTTTCACACTCTTATTAACCCCAAATCCCTTACAATTGTGTTGAACAGAACATGAACCAGCCTAAGGCAGACCACTTATGTCACTACATCTTCTTAGTAACACTCAGCCTTTGCAAAAATTAACTTTTCCTTCTTACTCTTTTCCCTCCCTTCCCCTCAGCTTTCCCCAGTAACTAATCCCTCAAAGGACTTTCCTTGTTATCCAATGTGTGCAGTTTCTTTAGAAGCATTTGGTGAGGAAGCTTTTTGAAAATCAAAGTGAACTATATTGACTGGCTCATTAGAGGTGAATGCTGTGAAATGAACCAAGAAGGGGAAATATAAATAGTACCATAAGCATGTAAAATGAATCATCATTAAGCAAGAAACAAAGGCCACGAAGGATTATGCAGGGGGGGAAAAAAGTCAACCAATAGTAAAAGGCCTGTCAAACTCCAGCATCAATGTGGCTTTATGCCTATATGCACTATGTCTAGTTAAATTATGATCAGAACTGAAGAGTTGTCAAAACATACCCTTCCAGCATCAGACAGATACAGAAAATTGTCTTAGTCATGGGATTTGGGGAGGCGGAGGGAGCGGGAGGTGAGTTATTTCCATTGCACATGCCGCAGCGCATGTTGCCTCCCTGTGCCTTGTGGCAAGTCAGGCATGCTCTGCAGAGCTGTGCCTCTGCCATGGTTCAGCCCTTGCCTGGCCTGTTTGGATGGTGAAGTCATAGCTGAGGAGTTTTATTACATTTACCAGTCTATCCACGTTAGTCGGCTCTTGAGAACCCCAATGGCTTTCCTCAGACCTGCAAAGAGAACTGGCCAAGCTAAGCAAAATATTACAGTTGTTTGCTATTTGTTATATAGCGATGGTTAAAGATCCCTAAAGAGACTTGTCTTGCTCTGGTACTGTAAAAGCAATATAGCAGAAAATAGTGCCCCTCTTAACACACTTAGATTCTAATTTAAAAACAAAGCACGCAAGGGAAAGGAAGTTAGTTGCCTTATTTCCAATTTTCTGATAGAAGAACTGAGAAAGTAAGATGGCTTGCTCATTCGTGTAGAAAACTTGGGTTATAAACAAGTTTCTTCCTACATACAGACCCATTCTTCCTTTTAAAAGAGCACAGTTTGGGAGTCTTCGTAACATACATGTCTTTCCTTTCAGAGTCTATTTGGTCCTCATTTGGTTTTAATTCCTAGTCACCTCAGTAGGAACAGTGCCTGGATTATGAAGAGAACACTGATTTTAGTACTTTCCTTTTGTTCAATGAAATCATTTCATTTTTAGTCCAAAGAAGCTAGTATTTGAGATTTAAATCAAAATATGTTTTTATTGTGTGACTCAGTGAAAAGGACATTTCCAGCAGACTGTGATATATCATGGATCAGTCAAGATGCTGTAGTATATAATCTACTAACTTAAACAAAATGCATTTTTTTTAGTAATTAAAGTTTTGAGGGAAAAAAAAAAAAAGCTTTTTCTTACTGAACTAATTGGCACTAAAATTCAACTTCTGCACTGCTATGCTGAATCACTACAAAACCCATGACGCCCACTTTTCATGCTGGCTATAAAAATCCTTCCATACGTGGATCCAGAAGGTTGACAGAAGGAGAAAATCCTAAATTCTCTCCAAAGTTCTTGATTTTTATTTATCTTCTTTAGAGTACTGTTATAGCCATGGAATGTAGTGTGTTTCTATCTATATGTTACTTCATTGATCTTTTGGTTATGCTCAACAACTAGAATAGGGCAAAACTGAAGCTCAGCAGAATTTTTGGAGAAGTAAAATACTTATTATTTTTAACAAAGGCTGTAACCAGTGAAAAGGAAGCAATAGTGGTTGGCTTTTATCATTTAGCAGCTTTTATTGGTTTTTATCATGCGTCAGAATGCACAACCCAAAATATAAGCCTACTTTGTAGATTTGTGCATAAACAGATGAAAGTGCCACATGAAAGCAAAAAGTGATACAGAAAGAAAACTACTTTCTCACAGCAATTTTTTATCTATTTAATAAATATGTATTTATTATACAAATATATATTATATATAACATCTATAATATATTGTATTATGTACGATTTTGTATCTTATACGTGTTATATATTATGTATATATTTTTTATATATATAGATCAGCCCCTTTCATGCACTCTGCGTTCCAGAATAAATTTTTTCCTTCCTAGAACGCAAATGTTGGAAGCACTATCATTGCCAGTTGCAGATGTCCTTTATGGACTTCACTAATAACAGATGCCTGTTTTTTTGTACTGCTCAGAATATTCAGAAAAAGTAAATTTAATAAAACTCGAGGAGTTAATATACTGCTACTTGAAACGTACTCTCCTAAACAGCTGAAATCATAAAAATAAGCAAATACTGTCCTTTTTTAAATAATATTTAATAAAAAAAAATTATGTTGGACTAAACATAAGTTGAATCCAAACATCCTTAGACATGTCTTTTGTTGAAAAATAAAGCCTAGCTTTCTTAATCTGTTTCTAGATAATGCTTCTGATTTATTAAAGACAACAGTTTCAGGGTTACCGATTTTTGTATTAGGGCAGTTGCTGAATTTTATCACTGGAGGCAAGAACATGCCATCAGCAAAGTATTCTCTGGGATGCTCAGGCAGTACTCTGAGCAGAACTCTGCAGTCTTGCTCTACTTGCTCAGTTATATTTTCAACTTTTTTCAGTATTGATTTGCATGGTGGAATAGGGAGGAAATTTAAAAGCTGAAAGGTTGTATGCACTTCAGAGGGCAGGGTCACAATGGAGAAGTTAGAAGTGAGCCTGTCATGGAGCAGGTGCTAGAATGAACTTCTCAAAATCCATGGACAATAACAGCCTAGAAAACTTCTTCAGGAAAAGCGGGGACCTTCCATGTTGTAGTGGGTCACCAGGTGATTATTAATAGTTAACAACTAAATTACATCATAACCCAATGCTGTTTCGGAAAGATGAGTATTATGCTGGAATTCAGTAACGCAACCTTGGGAATCATTCATTTCATGGCACTGGGCACAGGTGAGGCCAATATCTAGTTATAACAGAAGTCAAGGAAGTAAGAGCAAACAGGAGGCGCAGAAAACATAACCAATGAGATGAGCTTAAAGAACTGGAATTGTTTGCTATAGATTACAGCCGAACTAACTGACAAAGGATTATTTTCATGAACACATCAAGTCCTGCCAGTCCCTTCTCCCTGATCCCATCAGTAAATGCTTTATTATAAAGGACTTCACTCTCCCAGCACCAAGTCCCCTCGATTTTCAGAATACCACCTACCTCCCTGAGATTACCAAAGGTTATCCAAACCAGAAAAAGTGTGCATTCAAGAATCAGCATTGTCTTAGAATTACTGTCTCCTTAATATTCATGTATATGAAAAAATATATAGCTGTCAAGTTTGATAGGTATGTAGCCAGAACTCACCACTTTAAACAGTGGTCTTTAAAACACATTCCAGTGAGTCTTGTCAGAAAGACCAACATTCATATTACCTGCTCTGTATATGTGTACCCGACCCACATGCATCAGAGTGTCAAAATGGGCTAACATGTTTCCTTTTCATTCTTTTATAGTAATCTGAATAACAATGTTAGCTTATAGAACAAGACTGCTTCCTTCTGTCTCTCTTACTTCTTCGTTTTCACAGTGTCAGAAAGATTATGTTTTGCTTTAATTATCTTCTGCAAGTTTCAGAATAACAATGAAAGTTACAAATCTCAGGCAACTAGTTAGTAAATGTATATTACTTTATTGTCATTGGATTTGTTATTACCAGTTTTGACTTATTTTGACAGACATTTTGCAATTATGCTTCCAGAAACATGGTATTCTTTCAGAATAAATTGAATTTCTGGGGGGAAAAGGCATACAAATAGCCATAAATAATTAGTTCACAACTTTGTTTCACTATAACTTTTATCCAGTGTCAAAGGATCAGAGCCCCCTTGCAGGCTGGGTCAGGAAACAATTACTCTAAGGAAAAGTGTAAGGAAAAAAGATTCGGCTCTCTTGTTGCAAACTACAAGGTGGGAAGCATGCCTAGGGTGAAGCTGGGGGCTGACGTATTGGTAGCATATACAGAGAATTTGGACCATGATGCTTCCAGGATCCTCTAAATTAAACCAGGAACTACTGTATTCCCTGGTGTGCCCCAGAACAGTGAGGCTGCAGAGAAGGCTCACTTTGAACAACAGCTACTACTTTCTTGAGAAGCAAAGCACGTGCCTCTCTCTTTTTCCACCACTACTCTGAACGCACTGAGTTTGTTGTAAATTCTTTGCCTTCACCTAGACCACTCAGGTTCATGTTTTGGATCACGACACACGCATGCCCACTGTCCATGCTGAGTTACCCTGAGCGACTTTTCAAGTGCCATTCCTATGTGGAGTGTCACATGCTCATGGGGAATGTAAACAAGTGTATGACAGTGCTTTTATTTCAAGCTTGCTGCCACCTCAGGGTGCAAAGGCAACTGCTGGGGTTATCCCAGCTCCTCACCTATTGACAGAACGCCCTCAGCCCGTGCAGCAGGAGTACTGCTTCACAGCATGGCTGCTGTCACATTCATTAACCTACGTTTAGAGGGGTTGTCTTGAGCATAAATGCTTCCTTTCAACTCTGCAGAGGATGATGCCAGGGGACATTATTCCCTCTTCTCAATGTAGAAAGAGGATGATAAGACAATAAAGTCAAAGTATTCCTAAGCTTTCAACTTGCCTGTAAAATACAAGGGATTGAAAAGAACAAAGGAATGGGAACTGCAAGAGCGAGAAATTGAAAATCTGCTGTGTAGTGGAAAAGCAATTTACCTCAAGGAAATAACCTCAAAGCCTAGGATTTTCCTGCCTTCCTGAAGATTTTGGTTATCCTTTAATCAGGAAAAGAGTCTGACAGTGTAGTTTGCGAAATTTATTATTAAAAAAAATATTTCGGCTGTTGAACTGTGCGTGCTGTGAACAGTTCAATTGAAAATAATTGTATTCTCATTTTAACATCTATAAAGTTTATTAATAATAAGATTCACCTTGTAGCTAAACAGCAGACACAGAACCAAAGCATAGCCTTCTAATCTGCCCTGCAGCAGCACTTCTAAGTCAATATGTGGAGCCTTTGGTGTTGCATCTCATTGGAGATCAAGCTGTCACCGTTAGAAGATTTTGAGCTGTGGCTCTTGGGGACAAACCGCAAGCTGTCAGTAGCATTGCATGCTCAGGGGCTTCTAATCATACCATGAAAGGGCGACTCAAGTCATTCCTTTTCTGTGAGATCTTGCTGGTTGTGTCTTCTATATATTGAGAGATGGGGCAGGTATCAGTTTAAAAAAATCTGTAACTGTTGTAGTTTGATTTTATTTCCTTCTTAGGTGTGAGAGAAAGACCCTTCTTTTTCTTTCTGACTGTGGGTGGTACCTACGTCTGTAGAAGCTAGTTAATGAACACGTTCTAGCAGCGTGTTGATATTCATTAAACTATATGCACCTGTAGAATAAATGTTTTATGAATGAGGCACCAAAAGAAACAGTAAAAAAGAAACTTGAGCCAAAACTATCACCTCTTCTCACAATGGAGTGTACTGCCTTGCTGTTGGCCGTCTGCCCTCTTGGTCTTCTCAGGCCTGTTTCCTCCCTTTTTTCGGGATGAACAGTTTACAGAGTACCCTCTGTGTGACAGCTTACAACAGCAAAAGAAATCTGTGAGTTTCCCCTTGCCATCCAAGAGTTGACCAAAGTGCTGCAAGCATTCGCAAGTGAAAATAAGATAGAGAGAGATCTCTGGCCAAAGGATTGCTAACATGTATTATTTATAAAGAATTATGTCTCAATTAGAGAGCTCTTTGGAATAACAAAAAGGGAGAGAAGCTTCGGAAGAAATTAATAAGTCAATATATTTCTGTCTGCAAGTATTTTTGTCAAAACATGACTGTACACTTTTGTGCATTAAAAACCACAAGATTTTGTTAGATTTGCAAAATCAACAATACCAGAGTCATGAAGAAAAGTCCTTGCAGATTAAGTATAGCTCAGCTGAGTTTTGTAACAAGTCACTTCAGCATTTTCTCAGCTAGAACTTGATTCTACAAATTTTCAGGAGTTTTGTCTTTCCAAAGAGACAAGACATACATAAACAATGTAGAGAACAATATTTCTAGCAAATGTCTTTGAATGATCAGCCAGGATCCCTTGACACAACATCAATTCTTTTGCCGCATCAGTACAGTCTTACTTAACGTCACTGAAGATCACCAAAGTACCTGACAGCCAAACGTGGTCCAGTGCTATTATGTGGTCTATCTGAAGGCTACGAGTGGGATAACTCTGCAACAACTCACTCCATCTGCAGAAAAGTTTCTTCTGATGAAAACAAAACAGGAAGTGTAGCAAACTCCCCATTGAATGGAAACTTTCTGAAGCTGTTGTGAGCACAAGCAACTGCCTTTGTACTATGCCAAGAATGGGCAAATAGTTTTTTCCAAGGAAATTGAAAATGTGGTGAAAATGTGTACACCTCTCGAAGAGTGGAACACACCTATATTGGTGTGTCTGCAGAGGACCTCCTGTGCTGGTGGCTCTGAGCTAGAACAGGGGGCATGTTGCTGGGTGGGTCTGTGAAAGAAGAATCAAAGGTTTTGATAAGATGAGGTGAGGATTTACAGCAACACTATTGAAAGACAGCAGCAGACAGGTTGTACAGTTTGCATGTGTAGTAGCACAGACCTTTGGAGGACCAACCATTAGCTGGACTTAGACTGAAACGATGGCTGTTGATGCTGTTGAAACAGATTACATGGAAAACCTTTTAAGCAGTGTCTGAGTCTAAAAGTTCAATATTTACAAGGGGCGGCCACACTGGTTTAAGTACTAAGGTTATTTTCTACTTTACACATAGAAGACAGCAGTGCTTGAGTCTTGCTTCTAACAATTTTGATTTTTTCTTTTTCTTTTGTATCACCTTGTCAGCTGGTATCTTGTAATTGATTTAGTTCAGAGGGTCCTTTCTGTTCAGCATTGTTTTTTTCCTCTGTCTCTAAAATTCAGGTGGTCCGACCATACCAGACGATGTCCAATCCCATGAGTAAGTTGACAGTGCTCAACAGTATGCATTCTCATTTTATTTTGGCTGACAATGGCACTACTGGTAAATATGGAGCAGAGGTGAAACTTCGTAGACAGCTGGAAAAGCACATTTCACTTCAGAAGATAAATACAAGTGAGTAACATTTTGATTGTATTGTTTTATAATTGCAATCATATCAAAGACACTATGAGTTTAAATAGGCAATAAACTATATTTTGAGAAGTAGTCCTACTGTCTAAAATTGTGAACATGAGCTAATAAAAGGAAATAATGGTGAACAGGGATAATAAAATTTTGGTTTAGAGTACTGTGAGTAGGAGTACAGCACAAATAGCTGAATTTGTTTCTGAGAAGTTTCAAACAATATTTGTCAAGGTTCATCAGATTCAACTTAGGTCTTTGGTACCCCCATCTCCTTAAAACTGTATGCAGTCCTGGTCACCTTCATTTTTTAAAGGATATGGTGGAATTAGTAAAGTTAGAGAAAAGAGTGACGAAAAGTAAGGGAGACCTTTTTATTGTAAAAATTTTGCAGGTTGGAAGACAGATGACTGAGCTGTGTAGACATATATAAAATCCTGCATGGTTGCAGCAGAAATTACTGGACAACACAAGCGGTCCCAAAGCCATTGATATTTAGAGGTAGAGAGAGTATCCCATATAAGTGTTACTATGTTTGCACTGTGTTTATTATTGCCTAGGCAGCTGTCATTACCCACAAGCAGAGGTAGGAGATTAGATGGTCCTTTCACCTTGTCTTTTACAATCATGAGGATACATTCCACATCATGATCAGACTGAAGCCCCAGTTTTTCCCTCAAAATTATAGTATTTCTTTCTTTTATAATCATATACCACTTTCTTACATAAAATGAAAAGTAAATAGACACCTAAGTAAGCACTTCTGCTTGGATAAAATACAAAGATGGTATCTCAATATTAGTAGTATTATTTCTGTAGTGTACAGATGCTTTATTTAGATGGGGAGTTAATTTCTTTCTAGATATTTTGGATATAAATTTTTTCCTTCTGTTTAAAATCATTTAGATTTTAGAAACTTAATGCTATCAAAGGGAAAAAAGATCAGCTCTAGAAATTGAACCTAGGCCAGGGAAGAAATCTTCCTTTGAACGTTAGCCAGGCAGGTATTTTTTTAGTCTCACAAACAAACCTCAGTGTTGTACCTGCATAAGCTACCTTTAGGAATGAAAACAGAACTCATTTTTCAAAAGTGATCATATGCACAGCCTTTCTGCTGATAACTCCCTGTAAACATGCAATTTTGAGGCCAGGAACAGTGAGAGTTTTTGTGATATAAGTACTTGAAACTGGAATGACTCTGGGAAACTCATTTAGGCTCTTGAACATCAGATGATAATGAGTTACAGGCAGGCCCCATGGGGTGAACATAAACTAGCATGTTGGCCATGCTTGATAAAGCTTTTTGTATGACGAGTATAGTCTGTGCCTAAATTAAAATGATGTGCTACTTACACCTTTCAACATCACTGCACGAACTACACACCCTACAGGCTTTTTAATTTTACAATATCAGAGTATATATTGTGTTTTCTCAGAGGGAAGTGTGCAGGTTATGTAAAATGTGTGTGCATCCTAAGTGGTGTGTGGATGCCTGTGTGTTTCCTTAGCAGATGGAGATAGTGTGATCTAATCCTAGGTTGACCAGCAACAAAAATTACCATTTTAAAATGGCATATATAATGTAATAAAACTGTAGAAAACTGTCATAAATAATAATTATTTTGAGGACATTTAGAAGAAAAATGTGAGCTTTTGCAGTTTACAGCACAACATTGTGTTGGGGAAATCTCTGTTAAAAATCAAATCTCTTTAGAGAGATTTAACTTAATTCAGGTTGGACAACAGGTTTATCTGTTGAAAAGTGATTGATGGATGAACCTCCAAACTTTGATGGTTCAAGTCAAATACTTGCCTAACCTCTTCAAAGACCTATAAAAAAGAAGGATTTATCTTCTCTGGCTTCTCTCTGCAGCCCTATCACCCCACCTCACAGGAGTATGTATGTTCCTTTTCTCTTCCCTTTTCTCTGTGACAGAGTTTCTCTGTCATTTAACCTCTCCTTCCCAAATCTCTCTCTCTTACAAACACAAAAACGATGAGTCTCACAACACTTCTTCAAAATAGAAATGTGAGACAACTGTTAAGAAGGAAGGTTGCTGGTAAGATTTGTGCATCTTGTTCCGGTGACACCCAGAATGTTTCTGCCACGTTTTGTTTTCTTTTGTTTTAAAAGAAGGTGACTGAATCCTGCCCAGCCTCTAGTTAATAGAAAGGTGTCCATATGGAGGAGAGAAGGACCACCTGCCCTGTTGGGTCAGCCAAACAGATGGCCACTTTCTGATGCCTTTCCTTACCCTCATTCCTAGCAGAGCAGCGGAGATCCTCCGCCCTGTGCATGCAGGGGTGCTGCTGCAAAGGGATCTTCATCCAAACAGGAGTGTGTGCAGCTCTGCGTGTGTGTCCCTGCTTACCGTTTCCCAGTAGAAAGCATGTGGAGTGAGAAAAAACACTGACAGCATCAGACTTCTGTTTGCTAGAGAGCAAACTCTCAGGAAAAGGTATCATTTTTAGTTAATCGCCAGACAAAAGAGCAGAGGGCTAGAAAAGAGAACAGATTTAGGAACTAATAAACAGTTGGTAACTTCTTATTTCACAGCCTGTCCCTGGACAATAGTGCTGAAAGCAGATTTTATTCTTATTTTTAAGCCTGCCTGACTTTTACATGCTAGGCTTGTTATTTCTTCTTATTTACTTTTCTTTGCTTCAACTGTAGCTTTCTCCAGTGCAGTGAAAGCTCTCCTGCATGTTTGGGATCACACACTCTTCACAAAGGGAAACGTCAAGCTTGTGATCACCTATTAAAGACACAGAAAGTGATATTCCCTTCAAATAGATTAGGACAGTGACAGTCTCTTTTATAGAATTTAAGATTAAATCAGGTCATTAATTCTGAAGGACTCAGCTGTTTTTGTTCCTAACATGATGTCACTTTCAGTCATTCAGCAGTATCTAATTTTCTGAATTAGTGTAGTATAAAATAATTACAAAAAGCTTGCCTTATGGCCCCTATGAAAACTAGAGGAAATATTTCATTGAATACTCCATTTCTACTCTGACTTTTTAACCTTTGCCAACTCCATAGCTCTTATTTTGTCAACTGCAAATACTGAGAAATTAAAAAATGCTTTCCAGGCAAGCAGAGGGTACAGTTACATTTGTGAGTCAGTCTGAGTCTGCAGGTTCAAGACAGAGTCACTCAGTTGTGCATTTAGCTAGAGGTCAATTTGATGCTTCAACAGTCAGGACAGGTCTTCCTTATTTTCACAAGTGAAGACTATTTTAGCATAGCCCAGCAACTATGTCTTGCAGGGAGCCGCAAGTTATCTCAAACTCAAGAAGTTTCAAAGTGCATCATTTTGTAGTGAGAAATGTTGAAAGATGAACTTTCCTAAAACTTTCAAGATCAAAAGGAAATATTGAAAGTTATCCGATCAGAAATGTTTCTGGTTTCAAATTCACACAAACATCTGAGTCCTGGATTTTTTGCTGGAATTAAAGGTAGGGAGATCACCTTAAGATATGCTCTGGAAGGAAGGGAAAATATCTTTGTGACCATCTCTGGATAATTTAGCAGGTCACGTTAGAATTTTTGCATTGAAATATGGAGTTAAAACATTTTTTGTTCATCTTATTCCGAAAATATTGCATTAACAAGCAAAAAGTTTTAATGACAATTGTACAGAGATTAAGAGGTGTGATTTTTCAGTGATACAGTAAGTGGACTGCAGCTGTGTTTCCAGCTGTGATGCTATGCTTATACTCTTTCTTGACATGCCGGAGTCTACAGCATGTCAGGCTGATGTAATTCACTGCTGCCAGTTTACTGATTTCTGATTCACTGTTTCAGGAAGAGCTCATAATACTAAACTCTGCCTCATTGCCTTGAACTAAAGAGGCTCCACAGCCATTTGTAGAATGATAGCTTTCATATGGGCTGGAACAGACCTCTGCAGGTTCCCAATCTGAGTGTCCTCTCAAAGTGGACTATTGTCAATGCTAGACAAGCATGTCCATAGCTTTGTTCAGCCAAGTCTGGAAACCTCCAATAATGGATATTTAACCATCTATATGGACATCAGCAAAACGTTTGGAAATTTTCCCCACCCCACCATCAGTGTCTGATCTGGAGCCCTTAAACCACTATTTGCAGCCATTTTCCCTTCATAGGGCCTAGCTCTGGCAAGAAGAGTATGCCTCTAACACCTTTTTAACACCGCTGCAGATGCTTGTAGGCAGGTATTAGATTATTCAGACTTCTTTTCAAATGGCTAAACAAGCCCTGTGGTCTCAAACTCTCCTCTTCAGATATATGCTCTAAGCCACTAAAAGCATCCATTTCTCTGGATGCTCGCTAGTTTCTTCTCATTCTTCTTGAAGCAGAGCCCAAACCTGAATCCAGTACTTCAGATGCAGCCCTGCTAGTGATGAACAGAGTGGGAGTGGGATAAAAACTCACAGTTGACGTACTTCTCTAACATAGCACAAGTGCATGGTTTGCCTGATGTGCACTGAGACCATGCTGTTGGATCATACTGAAATTGGCATCCACTGTAACCCCAGGTCCATGACATAAGGATCTAGTCATCTGATTAGAACATAAGCTACAAGTTTTACTCTGAACAGTCAAGCAATTTACCTTGTTGGAATCCTTTTCCAAGAATGAATACAGAAAAATTGTGATTTATGTGGGATTTTTTCAAGTTCAGACTTCTTTTTTTTCCAAGAATCACACAAGCCCTTGTTGTCTTTGAGCCCTGAAATAATTTTCAGATTAAAAATATGTGGTCTAATTGACTACCTTTATAAGGGTGACTAAAAGTAAGTAGGCATTCATCGTCAAGAGGTGGTCTGCCATGATATTTTAGACCTAGCATTTAATTATTCTTTTTCCAAAATTCTAGTGCATCCTCAAGCTCCTCTCATCTACAGTATTCCGTTATTAAAGTCATTCTAAAGCCTTATATTTCAACACTCAATTTTATTCAGAAGGAATAGGAATCAACGTATCCTCTAAAATGCTGAGAATTTCT